ATTTGGGCTAAGGTCAAAATAACTTGGCTTTTATAGCCAGAAATTTACTTTGGTCATCAATTATTATAAAGATCAGTTGTGATTAGAATAGTAACCAAAATAAACACTACCAGACTCAAGAGCCTGGTGATTCTCATAATATGTTAATTTCTGTGATTTGAATTTGCTGAGCAATAGCATATGATTTTCTTTGTACCTCCAGTTTTAGTTTGTATAGCGCTATCTAGGTAAAATCAAATCATTGTTTGATTATAATTTATTTATCTTATAATTACAGATTACAATTTAATTAGCTGTATATTATGCATTAGATGCTCAGTCCCCCTCATATTTATTTTGATAAGTATGGGTGCCTTTGTCTTTGGGAAATATGCACTCTGAGTTAGCTTTATGGAAATGCAGAGTGACCCTACCATGGCTCACTGGGCCAGGTCAGGGAACGAAGGGTCCAGGATGGCTGCAGGATCTCCAGCATGCAGGTATGTTGCTAGGAGACCATATTGATCTTTTCTAGCCCCTTTGCAGAAGACCCTGTCTACTTTTCAGTAATTGATTGTCATCATTTACAGCAGTAAGCAGTTAGAAGCTTTGCCTTGTCTTCAATATTTAAGTTAAAAAAAAATCCAATCATTTAAGAAAAAAATGCTTTATGCAATTTTGTTTTTATGCCAATAACAGCCTATGATTAGGAATGCTTGCTCATTTAGTGTGTCTAATTTTGGATATGATTAAATGGACATACACTTTACTGCCTTTGTATAAGTACATTATGATTATCAAAACCAATTTGCTTATATTAATCGAAGTCAGCTTGCTCCTGACTGATCAAAACCAATTTATTTGTTTATTTGTTACCCACCTTTTTGTTCTGGGCAGAAAAATCCAACTACAATAGCCTTTCTTAAGATGATTCTGTTTTAAACATTAAATCATTCCACTTATGAAAAATAGCAGAAGACATTATTATACCACCGCATTTCAATGTCTGGCTCCTAAAGGTCAAGTTGGACAGTGCAGTCAATGAATCTATAGCTAGTCCAATGAAGGCTGACTTTCCTCTCCCATCCTTGTGGCCAGGTGGAGGAGTTCACTAATTTACAGTGCACCTAGTCACTCAAGTGGAAGCCTTTACACCAAGTCAGGTTTCCTGATTACATCTCCCAATGATTAAATGTCTGATATAAATATAGTTCTGTCTTATATTTTAGGGTAGATTAAAATAACCAAATGAGACAGCCTGGGAAAGGACAGCTCTTTATTAAATCTGCAGAAGACTCTATTTAAATGAATACCTCAGCAGTATTTGCATAGTGCACCTTGACATATAGGAATAACATTTATCGGGTGTTGGGCAAATGGGAGGGGGCAGGGGAGTTGGGTATATACATACATAATGAGTGCGATGCGCACCATCTGGGGGATGGACACGCTTGAAGCTCTGACTCTGGGGGTGGGGAAGGAGGGGAAAGGCAACACATGTAACCTAAACATTTGTACCCCCATAATATGCTGAATTAAAAAAAAATACATAGCACACCTTGTCTGGGAAAGGGCCCTTAAGATCCCAGCATCCTACAGACTTTGAGTTTTTTTGAGGTTTCTGGGAAAAATGGAAACACGATGGGAGTTTTCATAAAAATAATGAAAATAGACGCTGGATGATTATTTTGTGGCAGACATTAACCTCAGCTCTGGATGGATAGAGATGATAGATACAGATATATATAGCCATTACTTTATTTGTTCATCATAAAAACCCTATTTGGTGGGTATTATTCTAAATCAGATGAGGAAATTGAGGCACAGATGTACCAAATAATTTGTCAAAGTCTATGCAGCTAGAAAGGGTGACTGGAAGCAGGACTCAACCCCAGGAAGTTTTAAAGGCAGAAGAAGCAGAGCTCCCAACTGCCACTGCCAAGCTGCACCCTGCTGGCATAGTGACTCATACCTACCTGGACCTGATCCTAGAGCACAAAATCTTTTTAGCAAAGCTCCTGTGTAATCATCAGAGAACTCCAGAGATTCTCATCACTCCACTTAACTCACAATCAGTTCTTGGATCCATTGCTCACAGCAGCCTCCACCAAATACCTTGCTAAACACAAAATACATTTCTGAGCACTGAATCAGCACAACATCACTCTGCCCAACAGGCATCCTGGGGCAAAGCAGTAAACGGTTTCCAAATCTCTATTGTATAACAGGATTGTTGTCCCTACCCCCTCCAGTATTTCCTACCCTGTGTGAATGATCACTATACTGACTCACATTTCCACATTCCTATCCATGCATACATTGTAAAATTCAGTTATAGTCATCTCAATTTCCCAAATGCCCCTTAATCCTCACAGGTAAAAAAAATGTAGAAATGATTAACATCTGTAAGGCATGAAGAGAGATGCTATGAATTATATATCATCCCATGTTAGGAGACTGGGAAACAAGGAGCACACTCCTAAGGATTGGTTCACCTTCAACTTTTGACAAATTAATTTTATTCCATAAAAGCTAATTCACATGTGCTAATTCAATTATTCTTTTTCAGGCTTCTGAAACACTGACTCTTTGAAACTCCTGTCACCTCAAACAATTTTAAATATTTTAGGATGTATTTATTCTTTTGATCCCCTTTTATGCTGAAAAATGTCTTAGATAATTTTGAGTTTGTTCAGTAAATAAATTAAACTACATAAAAATATGTAGGCATAATGCAGCAAAAGAAATAGTGTAAAACATCTCAATGGGAGTATTACTAAATTATAACAACAGTAGTTAGCGTGTATTGAGGGTTTACTCTATGTCAGGCAATGTTCTAGGCACTTTATATGTATAATTTGATTTTACGTCCATAACTGCAATCATGCTATGAGGTAAGTACTATTATCATCTCCTTTTAGCAGCTGAGGAAACAGGCACAGAGAGGTTGAGCAACTTGCCAAAGGATACACAGAAATTAATCACCAAAGATAGGATTTGATTCTAGGCAATTAGACTGCAGGGACCACATTCTTAAGTACAATGTTTATATGCATTTTAATTATTAGAGAAGTAACTTCTTTTCAGGAAGTTAATCTATCATAACAACATCTTCATCATAATTATGTTTTTGTGAACCAGGAATTACTGGCTTATTACCATAGTGCTTTTACTGGAATTTTTTGGCTTGATTTTTATTAAAAATGTAATTTTCTTTATATTTTCACCTCAGAGAATTAATCTCCATAGCTAAATTGGAGTTAAGCCTATATAGCACCTATTGTGATAAAATGTTATTTTTATCTCACACAGTTACTCTAGGGTCACTATAATACAACCAGATAGTTATATGTGTGTGTGTATGTGTGTATCACTTTACTGTGTATATGTATATACACACACATATATATCTGCACATATGCAGTTATAGTTATAGTTTTATATAGTTATATGCAGTTTTCATAGAGTGGGTTGTATAGTTATACATAGAGTTATAAAGTTATATGTAGTATAACTTAACATATATAAAAAGAGAGACAGAGAGTGTGTGTTATATATAGGTGGTCATTTACCTTAGGAAAGATTGAATGTTGGGCCTAACCTCAGACCTAAAAGCTAAATCTTAACTAGCCTAAACAAAGTATGAAAACTACAGTGATCAGTGTACAACTGGCATTTGTCACACTTACAGCCATGAGACATGTTGGGGAACTCAGATGACTGGGCTTCTAGGAAAGTTCTCCTTGTTTCACCCAATTAACCAAACTTGGAACCGTAAACTATGCTACCTCTAAATAGATTCCTACTCAGAGAATTTTTTCTTGTTTCTTTAAACCAGTTTGATCAGGTTTCCCATTATTTAGGCAATGTAACTATCTCTTCATAGAATAAGTCCAAGAGAAATGATATAGACTCTGGCATCTAACTTTGGGTTTTGGTGACACAGCTTAAAATCAATACTGAAGAGCTTGTCAAAAATATAAGGTGCTGGACGGTCATTGCATTCACAGAGTTTTATGAATTGGCCCAATCAAACTGCATTATCTGTTCCAGGGATTCCGTTTTATCCCAGGAGGCAGAAAGTTGGGTCAAGAAGAACTCTGGACAAAGAGTAAAGATATCTAGGGTCCAGTCTTAAATATTGCACGTGATAGCTATCTAATCTTGAGAAAGTCATTTAATACCCTTATACCTTAGATTCTTCATGGATAAAATGAAAACAAAATAGGACCATGATATCCTTAAACTCAATTCTAGCTCAAATAAATTATAATTGATCCTTCTGTATCTCCAGGGTATAGGCATGTGCTCAATAAATATTTATGTGGAGGAAATCAAATTGAAACAAATGTTTTTAAATAAACTTTTTATATTAGAATAATTTTAAATTTATAGAAAAATTACAAAGATAGTACAAAGAGTTCCCATATACCTTGTACCTAGTTTTCCCTATTATTAACATCTTAAATTAGTATGATACATTTGTTACAGTTAATGAGCAAATACTGATGCAGCATTATTAGCTAAAGTCCATGCTTTATTCAGATTTCCTTTGTTTTAACCTAATGTATACTTATTCTGTTTTAGGAACCCATCCTGGATGGCATATTATATTTAGTCTTCATGTCTCCTTAGGCTCCTCTTGGCTGTGACAGTTTCTCCCACTCTTTGTCTGATAATCTTGACAGTTTTCAGGAGTACTGGTCAGGTATTTTACAGCATATCCTCAATTGAGATTTGTCTGATTTTTTTATGATCAGACTGGGGTTATGAGCTTTCTGAATGGAAGGCCACAGAAGTAAGGTGCTGTTTTCTTCACATCATCCCAAGGGTACAATGCCATTCTCATCATGTCATTCTAAAGGTACACACTATCAATGTGACTTATAACTATTGATTCAAACCATGCCTGCCTGGTTGAGGCAATGAGACTTGAGCCTTTTTTATTGACAAATTATTTTATGCCTTCTATATATGTCAGGTAGTATGTTAGATGTTGAACAAATAAAGATTATCTCTGCCCTACTATATAGCTAAATAAGAAAACTTAACCAAATAATTTCATAATTAATTGTGTATATATCTATATCTAAAACAGGGGCACCTGGTATAAACGGATGGGTCTACGAGAGCCTTTCTAGGAAATGTCACGTAAGTAGAAAAACAAATCATTAGTAGGAGAAGGCCAAGGAGCCTCAAGAGAATATAAGGCTGAAAGAATTGCATATGCAAACACCTTGCTTGGCTGATTGGAAAAGAGAGAGAGAGATGCAGGAAACAGCCTGAAATGATGGAATGAAGCAGGAGAGTGACCAGTAGAGCTTTAATATTTCCTTGGATTTAATTGAGCTTTAGACAGTTTCTTCTTGACTGCAGGCCCCTGATCTCCCTTTTCTTTGAGCATTTACTTTAGAAAGCTTGCAATTATAAATTCTTTTTTGGACCCTTTGAAATATAAATCTTCTATAACCCAGAAATGTCTTTCCTAAGGACCTGGAAGCCATCCCTTTGAAATATAATCATTGAAGGAAATAGTGCCTCTGTTTCTCAGTCCCTGTGGGAGTCTAGGAACCTAATTTCAATAGGGATCATTATCAAACACAGGTGGACTAGTCACATTAGCCAACCTCCTCCCTAATGTCCACCAGTACTTTTCCACTAGCTCACCCCAGCACTTAAAACATTCCCACCTTTTGTTTCAACTGAATTGAGTTCAATCTCTCTTCCCTGTTGCAATAGTTTAAAATAAAGTCTTCCTTTCTTATTTAACTTCTCTGGTGCATATTTGCTTCTATGAGGGTTATAAAGGGGTCAGACCATTCAAGATTTCGTATTCTTAACATGAATATTGGATCTCAACATATATGTGACAGGAAGCATTTGCAACAAGTGAGTGACACAGAGTTATCTTTAAGAGGAAACCCCATTGTTTTACTTTGAACACTGGCATAGTAACTAGTTTTAGACAAGCCATCAGGCTAAGAATACCTAGGAAAGGTGGGGTATTTTAAAATCTATTTTAAGGCATCAGAGAGATAAAAAGCCCAGGAGGAATTGAGGGGCGAAGGCTCGAAAAGAAAAGGGAAGCTAACATTGACCACCACTTTTGCCTGCAAACCATTTAAGTGATGCATAGTGGTGACTGAGTGGCTGAGGAGCTGAGTAGAGTTTTCACAAGTCTCATGATTGCCCCAAATATTTTTGCCCTGACTTATATACCCACAAGGTGGTTATTTGCCCTCCTCTTGAATCCAGGCTGTGCCTGTGACTGCTTTGAACAATGGAATACAGAAATGATATTCTAAAATTTTCAAGCTTAGATATTAATAATGCCAACCTACTTCTACTTCCATCTTGGGACACAGCCATCATACTGTGAGGAAACTCAAAAAGCCACATGAAATGGTCCACATGAATTCTATATGTGGTCATAGCTGCATTATTCGTAGTAGCCTACAACTGAAACAGTTCAAATGTTTATCAACATCTGAATGAATAAATAGACTTTGATGTATTCATCTAATGGAATACTAGAGAGAATGAAAATAAATTACTACATGTACGAAGTATTTGCAATGTAATACATAATGTTGCATTAATATACAATGCAAATATAATGTTGCATTAATATATAATGCAAATATAATGTTGCATTAAAAATAGGCAAATATCTCTTAAAAATCAGTAGATACCCTTAGAGAAGAGGGTGGGAACGTTATGCCTCAAAGGTGCCTGAGCAGTACTTCTATAACACTAGTAACATTCCATTTCTTTATTTGGGTGGTATTTATATGAGTGTGTTCACTTTGTGACAATTCATTGAACTGTTTTCTATATATTATAATCTAATTATTGCAAAAATAATTTCAGATTGAACAAAACCAAAAATTTTTCTTAACCATGGTCAAGCCATAGTTTTTACCAATACATTAAAGAACAGGAATAAAAACCGGAAGTTCATAAAAGAACTAAATTTTAGTTATGCTATAATATATATGCAATAGAAATTGAGTTTATTTTAAATATTCTATCATGTTATCTAATGTGTGTTGGTGTCAAAAAAATCTGTCTCCTTTCCTGGTTTGTTGGTCATTTCTTTTAATCTTTTCAGAGTCTATTTTACCAGAAGGCAAAAATACACACACACACAAATATACATACACACATATTTCTTTTTCTGTATGGCCATTTCTCACCTCTCTTTCCCTGTCACTCATTGATCTCATTCCATTTCAGTAAATGGATTGTCTTCTAGGCCAAAGTAGTTCGGATGGAAATGCTCAATTGTCTTATCTTTCAGCACATTTGCTTTCTAATTTACATTTTTCTACCAGGCTTGTGTCTTTAAATGTCATGCTCAAAACTGATGACTTTCAATCTGAGGCATGCAACTTCTCGGTTTTCTCAAAGGAAACAACCTTGTCTGCCTATCAAACATAAGTATCGGTGAGAATTGTACTGTGTGTGAAGCCATTTCAAGTGGTTCAGGGAGTTTGCTCTCACCTATTCACTTAGACCCATTAAACCTGACAGGTTCCAGTCACTAAACGATTCCCATGTCATTAAAACTCTATATGTATTTTATGCCATCTGGCTGAGTTATAATGGTTATGCTTGGCTATTTTCTCTCCACTGAGATCCTGTACAGCCCCCTCTTAATGATAATTGTGTATCCCCCACCCCCATCTATTCTTTCGCTAAGATGCTGAGCACATTTCTATACCATTTTTTGCCATTTCAAAAAAATTACCATGACATTCAGTTTTTTGCCCTGGGTTTTATGATACAGTAAATTATTGCTACACTGCTAAAGTATGAAGAGACACAGCCAAAAATCCATAACTGTAGAGAACCACTGATTTATTAAGAGACTTTCAGTTGAATATTTTCTTTAGGAAAAGCTATGCAAAGCATCAGCATATCAGTTTGGAACCAACATTTCAATCACACAGATACACGACCCCTATGGAGATAAAATAATAAATAAATTATATCTCTGAAGAACTATAGATTCTCAAACTAAGTGACCTTAAAGATTCAGCTTAAATCTGCCATTTTATAGCTGAGTCGACTGAAGACTAGAATGCTAAATTGCTGCCTCAGTCCTTCCAGCTAGTGAGAATAGGCAAGACTGACACTAAAAAATGGTCATGCCCATTCCACACAACATGCACATTTATAAACAAGTACTAAAAGCCAGGCATGTTCTACACCGCACAACATGCACATTTATAAACAAATACTAAAAACCAGGCATGCTCCACACTTTACAACATGCACATTTATAAATAAGTACTCAAGCACAACAATAAAACCAGTTGTAAAACTTGATTAATTCTCATTACCTATACTTCTTGCTATCAGTTGAATCCATTTTTTTTTTTATAGAATAAGTTGACTCATTTATCAGGCAACCTCAATTTTCCTCAATAAGTGATATTAACTAGCCTACCCTCAGCTTAGAATGAACAACTATGTTGACATTTCCAGTAGTAGATTTCTGGAAACAAATGCTCTTTATGAATAGTTTGGGGCAATTTATTTAATAAGACTTGGAAATAATGGAGGAAGCTAAATTATTCTAAATGGAAATAAGTTGGGTAGAAATTTGCTAAGCTGGAAAAACTATTAATATAATATGGTAAAGAAAGAAAAGGAAATAGAAAATAGAAAAGAAGGAAAAGGAGAAGAGAAAGCATAAAAAAGGCAGAAAGAATGTCAATGAATAGTTGTGGAAGGAAAGGAGAGAGAAGGGAAGGAAATCCAAATCCAAATTGTCCCACTGTAAAGAGATAAAATAGCTTATTCTATAAAATAGAGGATTATACGTTGACAAAGTCTTATCATAGATGTCTCTTTGGGGCCAACCCTGAAGCACATGTACACTGTGACATAAAATCTATTAGTATTAGATATACTAACTCTCGAATTACACATAGACTCTACTACCACTGGAAATAAATGTAAGATTTGTTTTATAAATGTAAATGTTTGTAAATGTATCCATGTATATTTATATATAAAATAACCACCCCAAGGAAACTTTCCTTCTCTTATGCAACAAAGTCATACACACAAACAAACACACCCCCCAGGAGAAGAGTTTTATTTTCCTGCTTTTTTTATATCTCATGTTAGTGTTTGGAGGCGAGGTTTCCTGTTTCCTAAGCCTGATCTGTACTTCCACCAGTGTGCTGATTAGATTTGGTTTGGATCCAGTGGAATATTGAGAGTCATTAAGAAAGAGAATTCTATCAGGCTTGATTCCTTTAAATACAACACACACACACACAACCACACAACCACAACACACACACACAATCTATATTTATATATTTATATATTTTCCATTTAGCTGTGCAGAAAGCTTTGAAAACTCTCCAAATAAGAGGATATTGATTATTGTCCGTAATCCAGACGGGTTACCATGGAAACTTGGAGAGGAGACATACGACAGAAAAGGGTTGGTATGAAATGTTTGTGTTTGAGGCTAGGATTAATGTGGGAGCATTATCATCGGCTCTCAGAGTCAGTGTTTACCAGATAGATTTAATTTAAATAAAGTTAGGTACAGGATCTCTATTTTAAGCAAGCAGTCTTTTGTTTGTTTTATAAAACCTAAATAGATAAAATAATAAGAAAACCTATCAGCTTAAGAGAACGTTCAGAACAGTGTCTATTGGTCGACCAACATAACAGGATATCTCGATTTGCGTCTCTCTTATTATACTCACACTATCTTGTGCATGAAGTATGTAAGTCACTACTTTCACAGTGCAATGGCTATAAGGAGCAAAATGGAAAAGTCAGTAAAGCAGTGTTTTCGTTATCACTAGGTCGGGATTCTAAGTATAGATTGCTGACTTTTTATTAAACATGTGTTTTATATAAACAGTGGTGAACAATTATGACTATGTTGACTAATTGATACCAATTAATAGGTCTTTCAGAATCATTGAAACATGTCTTTAATACTCCTTGTTTCTGGCTGTTTTTAATTAAATTTTTTAAATGTGGTCAGTCACTAAGGGCTTGAAACAATATATAGTTGTTGAAAAAAATGATCTAGGGCTGAATCTAGATGTGTACTCTATTTCGTGCTGCTGTGGGGTCTCTATACCACAGACTACACTTTTGATCACTTCAGTTTT